GCTCGCCCGCGGGGCAGCGACGTATGAGGAGGCAAGGACGAATTGGTGTTTGGCGATACCCGACGGGCTTCTGAAGAAAACTGCCCCCATCAGTGAGGCTGTGTAACTGCATTTGTACTTTTTATTCGGCTGGGAAGGAAAATTCGGGGGAGCTTAGAGGTTTCGGGGTCATGTCCCCATTGCAAACAGAGGCATTTCAGTCAATCACGCATCGAGCTTGCATCGTGCATTTCGCCATCTTGATCGGGCCCGGGACTGCTCGTGGGTCAATGCGCCACTGGTCGTTTCCCGGATTTCAGGCGGGGATGTGCTGCAGTTCGCGTCTGCAGGGCATCAAGGTTCTTACCCCTCACCATCCGGACAGAAAACTAGCGCCCGAGTTTTTGCGCCCATCAGAGATTCGACTCCTCGGAGTTTTTGAAGTGGCTTTCAAGGGTAAGCGCAACGGTTTTGGTGACCCTGTTGCTACTAAAAGCTCCAACAGTTTTAGTCCCGTTCTACACATGAGTAGCCTTTCGTGGCGTCGGGCGTATCGCATGCTTGCTCCCCGAAGCTGCCGACTATTGTGTACGGGGCGATCTCGATTCCAGCGAGCCGAAGAGCCGCATCCGTTGCAAATCATCACACCAACCTACCGAACGACAGCATTTTGGCAAAAATGCCCCGACTCCAACAGGCCTAGGCGATGGCACCCTACCGATTCGTTCCAATCGCTCCCGCCGTTTACCCATGCCTCGATCCGGACGCTCCGGGTTCCATCGGCAAGCAGGCGAGTTGAGTCATTGATTGGAACGGTGGTCGCAGTGGCATTCGAGGCACTGCAAGTCTCCCATGGTCCACCCCACCCGCCGCGTATGCTCGCAGATACTTGCGCATCAATTGGTGTTTGCCGTCCAACAGATTTACCCGCCCTTGGGTCTTGTCATCTTTTGCTGCGGTTCCCGTCGCATCCTTATCGAAGGAACCCGGTCAGGCACGGGTGGAAGATCGGGGGACCCTGCATGAAGCTCTGTTATCGATGACGTCGTGTACGATTTCAACAGCCAAGTCCCACCACAGTGGCGGACAGAAGCTCTGGAACAGTCACGCTCTGGCGATGAACCCTGCAGGATTTGCCCCGCGGTATCTCGGCGGCATCTCAGGAACGGCGAAAGCCAAAAAGATACGAGAGGACATACCCAACGACGGCTGTTTCCCCTGCAGATCGAGTCTTGGCCCTTCTCCATCGAGGCGGTTCCCAACCCTGCTCCCGCTGTTCTACCCGCCCGTGTTTGCTTTGTGAGTCTTTGGGACCCACGCCTGTGCCGTGTGAGGGTTCCCTTCTCCTCTCTGTGCTTGCTCTTTATCTCGCATCATGTCCTTTGACCCGACGGCGCTTTGGTAGGCATCCCTCGGTGAAAAAGCGCCAGCCCCTGGCCGCTGCAACTCTCAGGCCTTCTGGCGCCTTGCACACGTTATCCTGCATCGTTGTGGATAGTGCCACTGTTTTTCTGAAGTTATCTTAGGCCCTTCGTTTCCAGAGAGGTCATCTTCCCTCTTCACCGATAACTTCACCCTTTCCAAAGCTGCTGTCTAGCAGCAGTTTGCGGGCTGACCGAAGGCCCTATTTCCGCGATGGGGTCGCCACAAGATTTGGGTGAGCCCAGCTCATCCAGCAATAACCAAGAGCAGTATGCATCGCCGCAGTCTGACAAGGGGAAGGAGAAAAAGAAGGTCGAGTTCATCAGCGGCAGCGGGCAACGGGGGAGCAACCTTCCATCCTTTGTGGTGACACCGACCGAGGAGTTTGGAGACGAGTACTTCTCGCGTAACGATATTGATGCCCCGTCTCCGCTTCAGAGTCCTTCCAACCGCGATTCATTCAACAAGGCCGAGTTAACAGCAGCACTCAAAATGATCCTGCAGCCCGAGCACCATAGCGGTCATGTCCCGCCCAGCAAACCCCGCCCCGTCCTCCGGAAACAAACCGCCCTTGAAGGATCCGTCGGCCTGCATTCGGAACCTCACAGGTCCGAGGTGGAAGCAAAAAACAGAGCAGACAGACTGGCATATGCTGTGGGGACATCGTCGGCGCCAGGCTCAAGTCGAGCCTCCCAAGAGGATGTTGAGTCAGGGGTCAACACACCCTTTGATGGCGATGCCTTGCTGGATGGGAGACCACGAGGCGAGGGACGGAACAAGAACTCGACCGAAGGCCATTCAGATTCAGAAGGGTTACGACCACACCACGCGCATGAAGTTGCGAACCGGCTGGTACGAAGTCACACTCGCCGGCGCAGTCCTCTCTCACAGCCACACACGGCCCCTCGGTCTGGCACAGCGACTCCTATCCCCGACGACTCCGAATACGTCCCCCGACCGGAAAAATACAAGGGCGGCGTTCTGGGCAGTCTTCTCAAGCTGTACAATGCCGAGCAGCAAAAAGGTGCGGGGTCTGGGGCCGACTTCAGCGCCCCGAGCACACCCGGTCGGACCCCGAATCGAACACCTGCGAGCTCCCCGCCAACGTCACGACCGAGCACGCCAAGCCTGAGGCCGGAAAAAGTGAGGTCTGGGTTGCGGGGACTCCGGTCCCAGTCAAGCACAACATTGACGGGGTTGATGGAATCGTCGTTCATGTTTGCCGCCCCCGGGTCGACGCGGGACATGACCGAGACGGTCTCGGAGAAGCTCAGACAGGAAAAGGACCGACCCCGGAAGCGGCAAAAGACCAAAAAGTCGGAGGAGTTCCGCATCACGGTGCACATCGCCGACATCATCTGCCGGCACCAGTACCTGATCAAGCTCTGCCACGCCTTGATGATGTACGGAGCCCCGACCCACCGACTCGAGACCTACATGCGCATGTCCTCCCGGGTTCTCGGCATCGAGGGGCAGTTTATGTACTTGCCTGGGACCATGATCATTTCCTTTGACGACAGCAACACGCACACCACCGAGGTCAAGATCGTGCGGAGCCCGCAGGGTGTGGACCTGGGGCGGCTGCGAGATGTTCATGAGATTTACAAGGAGGTCGTCCACGACCTGATTGGTGTCGAGGAGGCGACGAAACGGCTCAACGAAGTCACCAACCGCAGGAGAAAGTATCCGACCTGGCTGCGCGTCTTGTTGTTTGGGCTGGCTTCAGCAACCGTTTCTCCCTTTGGTTTCGAGGGGCGGTACATCGACATGCCCATCTGTTTTATCCTGGGGTGTCTGGTGGGCTTTTTGCAGCTCTACCTCGCGCCATCGAACGAGTTGTACGCCAACGTTTTTGAGATCACCGCAGCCGTTGCGACGTCTTTTCTTGCCAGAGTATTTGGCTCCATCAACAAAGGCAGCTTGTTTTGCTTTTCCACGCTGGCGCAGTCATCCATTGCGCTCATCCTCCCCGGTTACATTGTTCTGTGCGCCAGCCTCGAACTCCAAAGTCACCAGATGATATCCGGCTCGGTCCGGATGGTCTACGCCCTGATCTACTCACTCTTTCTCGGCTACGGCATCACCATTGGCTCGGTGATCTACGGATATATTGACGAACACGCTGTCAGTGAAGTGCACTGCAGGACCGGCGATGCATGGTATCTGCATCGACCAGACCAGGACTTTTACATCCTTTTTGTCCTCCCTTTTACGCTTTGCTTGTGCGCCATCAACCAAGCCAAGTGGAAGCAGATGCCGGGTATGCTCTCAACTGTCGTTGTCCCACCATCGATCGCTAACTCCTTGCGTCAGTCATGGTCTTCATCGCTCTCGCCGGCTACGTCGTCAACAACTTTTCGTCGCGCCATTTCCAGGGCAACCCCACCCTTTCCAGCTCTCTCGGCGCACTCTGCATCGGCGTTCTCGCCAACCTATACTCTCGCGTGGGACGGAGCTTCCAAAACTATTTCCTCGACGTCTGGGACCGATATTTTGACCACCGCGTCCGCAACATCTTTGGGCGACACCGCGGCAGGAAACTGCCATCGACCTTTGAGTACGACAGCTCAAACGCCTTCTCGACCGAGTCGGTCGTCAACGACGACCCCGAGCTCGTCAAAATTCCCATCTCGACCCGAGCTCACAAGATTGGCTTTGGACTGGCTGCCGCCGCCATGCTCCCCGCCATTTTCGTCCAAGTTCCCTCTGGCCTGGCCGTCAGCGGTTCTCTCCTTAGCGGTGTCACAAGCGCCGATCAGATTACACGCAACGAGACGACGCTGGCAAACGGGACAGTGATCGCCGGTGCCATTACCACGACGTCGCAGGATACCGACCTCAACAGCACAGCGTTCAATGTCTTGTTTAGCGTGATTCAGGTTGCCATCAGCATCTCTGTGGGGCTTTCTCTCAGTGCCCTCATTGTGTATCCGTTTGGCAAGCGGAGGAGCGGGCTGTTCAGTTTTTAAGGGGCGTGGTGGGGTTCAGGGGTCGCCTGTGGCGTCAGCATCAATTGGGTTCACTAGGTGGGATGCACACTTATTTTTCACAGTCGGGTACTGTGCCAAATCGAGGGCATGTTGAAGGGAATAGAGATAGACTATTTAATGCGCAGGACCTAGCCTGATAAATGATGAGCCGGGTAGAGGTCATAGAGGCTTTCGGACAGGAATTCAACATGGCGCTTTGAAGCGCCACATCATCTTTGATCCCATACACTTGATCCGAAACCAAGAATGCCATCATCAAAACCAAAGTGACATTTTTCACAAGCGACATCTCTGCGCTTTGTCCAAGGAAGTGTACCTGATCAGAGAGGTTGTGCCCATTTTTCAATGCCAAGTTCGTCGAGGTCAAGGTTGCCAGCAGCCCGGCACTTGGCCGACGGGCAACTGACCCCACCACCGATGCCTGCCTGCACCGCACTGACCGCCTAGGTCTGCGGTTGGTGGCAACGGTAAAGGCGGGGTGACCCTGCCAACCGTTTGACCTGATTCATGACAACGCACACAAAAAAGATTTCCCCATCCCCTCTGACCGCTCCCAAACGTTAACAGAGACTCCGACAGTCCAGCTTTCATCAAATAACACCAATCACTGCCCTGCTGGCGCAATGGTAGCGCGCAAGACTTCTATCCGTCTTCTGTCCAGCACAGGAAGCACGAAATCTTGAGGTTGTGGGTTCGACCCCCACGTGGGGTGCTTTTTTTGCTTCGTTATTTTTTACCACTCGAAACATCGCTATTGTTGAGAATCGCATGGATGGATGTTAAGTGGTGGTTCATTCATGATTTTTTTTTTTTTTTTTTTTTGCATTCTTTTTTTACCGTCCAGTCATCCATGCTCCGTGGTTGACCTCCGTGATTGGCCGTCACCGTTTGACCCCCCATGTTGAGCCGTCATCACTCAATCTTGACCCGCACAGAAATGGACCCCTTCTTCGTCTGCATCACAATCAAGTCGTGATCATATGTCAAATCCTCCACCGTCGTCTCGTGTAGCTTCGCTCTGGGAATGACGCGCATTGCGACCAGAGCAGCCATCAGGTACAGTTCACAGTACGCCAAGCTACGTCGTGTCAGCACTCATCCACAAAACCCAGGGAGGGCAGGAAAACTCACTTCTCACCAATGCACGACCGACTCCCCTTTCCAAACGAGATGAGAAATTTTTGCAGCTTAAAGTTGGGCTTCCCATCCACCAGGAAGCGCTCCGGCCGAAACTCATCCGGGTCGGGAAACAGACCCTCATCCCAGTGGTGGATCATAGACGTCATGCCGATCGGTGTGCCCTTGGGAACCACCCACTCGATTTTTCCGTCCTGGCTCTTGTAGTGCAAATCCTCCTCGCGCGCGATCCTCGCCGACCGATGGGACACGCCGGGTGTCATGCGGAGCGCCTCGTGGATGACGGCCCAGAAGTACGGGCGCTGTTCGAGCTCAGTCCACTTGAGCGTTTCGGGGTTGAGGCCCGCAAAATCTTTCATCAGACGCTTGTATACCTCCGGCTTTTCGAGGAGCCAGAACGTGATAGCAGTTAGCGTGGCGGCGGTCGTCTCGGTTCCCGCCATGAGGAAGTTGAAGCCCTCGCCTGACATGCGGTACATGGTTGCCTCATGCGCAGGGAGGGCCTTGGACTTGTGCACGTCGGCAAACACCCTGCCGTTATCGGGGTCGTTGAGCGCCGCTGTGATATACTGCGGGATGACGACGTTCATCTGGTTCATGATGCGCTTGACGTCTTCGCCGAGGTAGTCGGCCATATGGGGGAGGAGCTGGCCTAGCTTGCGGGCGACCACGTTGTGGCGGATCATGTAGGCGCTCTTGAAGAAGGAGCTGACCCATGTGGAAAAGTTTGGCTCGAACCCCTCTTGGGCGATGAAGCCCATGGGCTCGCCAAAGGCGTATTGCGAGATGACATCGGCCGTGAAGCAGTTGAAGGCTTCCTTGATCGGCAACGGGCCCTTCCCGGCGTATCGGAGGATCTTGTCGACGGTCAGGTGAGCAAAATCGAGGACTTCGCTCTCGAGCTTGAGCATCTGTGTGCGGGAGAAGAAGCGAGAGAAGGCGCCCTTTCGGATGCGGTGGAGCTCATGGTTGACGGTTGAGAAGCCTGTCACCGCGACGGGACCGACGGCGCCGGTGTTGAGCTGGTGATACCACTTGTCGCGAACTCTCCCAGGGCCGGTGTAGATCTCGTCGACAAAGTAGGGGTCGGCGCAGTGAAGTTCATCAGGGTTGATCCTCACGATTGGACCTGCGATCAGTGTCAAACACAACATTCTTCGACACCATATCGCGGAGAAAAAACCAACCATAGCGCTCATGCATCTCCTTGATTCGCCTGGTATACCTCCCCACCAGGATCCAGTCATAGTACGCCTCATACAGGTAGCTAGCCGCAGCAATCCTTGGTCCAGGGAAGCGAGCGAGAGGGTGAAAAGGCGAGATATTGTACAGCGCCAGGAGAACCCAATAACCAAGCCACAGTCCGACAAAATAGAGGACCGTGACTGGCTTGAGACCTTCCGTGATCACAGATTTGAGATCCATGACGACGCAACACCCGATACGCAGACACAAAAGGACCGCTACCCCTTCCCCATGGCGCAAACAAGGGGAACGGCAAGCATATATGGGAATCTCCCACGTCTACCATCTCCCCAGCGTCGCATTGACGCACCGCACTTACTCACTCCCGACTCTCTTTCCGGCAATGCAACCCTGGCGCCCAATCCGTACCAAGATGCCGGACCCAAAGCAGTCGTGGGGGCATCAGGGGCCACACAAGGGGATCGACGGCGGCGAGCAGAGAAAGCGGACAAGGCAAACGGAGCGGGCCATTCCTAACTTGGGACTTCGGTTAGAAGGGCTAAAAGACATGGACGGCAGGAGGACGGGAGGGTGCACACCATCAGAGGCCAATGGCTGCGCGGATGTCGGTCTAGTTCTGTTCCGTGGCGACTCGTGTACGTTTTGCTGAACATTGTCGGCGATGCGATTCGGTACCTAGGGAAGAAGCGTCGCGAGACCTGATCACGAGCAATAGCGTCGACGCTGGTGCGCTTGGTTAAGGTAACCGATGGGACGTCCCTTCCCCGTTTCCAACGCTAACGTAGTGTTTGCTCAGCAGGGCAGGGCCGTTGGAGCTCGAAACTGCTGCTGCCTATTGCTAGGTACCTAGATGGTGGATATCAAGTGGAGGACAGTGGGAAAAAAGAGTAAAAAGGACGGGAAACAAAATGCATCGCTAATTCAGAAGATATGGGACATCAGAAGAACCTCCATCACATGCATCTCCAACCCGCACCAAAGGGCGTCAACAACAAGAAAAAAAAATCGTAATCCTTCCCAGGATGGAGAAAATGCCAACACAAGCAATCGCAATGCATATGCAACCTTACAAATAGCGCCCCCTCCCAAACCCACGTTCCAATCTCCTCACTGCCATCACCAACCTATCCTCCTCCTCCCCATCCACCTCACCACTGCTGAGACCGGCCCTCTCCCCAAACGGCACCCCATCCGCCTCACAAACAGTTCCCACCCCCGGCATCCGCCCCTCCCTGAAATACCCCCTAACCCACCCAGCCGTACACCTACTCGCCGCCGCCAAACTTGTATGCCCGTACGAATTCTGCATCAACACCACACTGCCTTCAAACCCTGCCGCGTTCCTCCTCGCGCTGACAAGTGGCGTGACGTTATCAGCTACATTATTCACAAATAGGATCGGAAACGACGTATTCCCTCCCACGACGGGCCCCTCAAACCGCCACTTGGGCCTGATATGATTCCGTCCCGCGCACGCCAGGCGAAAGCCGGCTTGCACCGCACCTGCTGCGTGCGAGATGTTGAGCAAGGTAGCCACGTAGTCTGCGAATTGAGCTGGCGAGTCGGTGAACGGCTCGGCGTCGGCGCACATGATTGCTGGGAAGGCATCGGGGGTGTCTTCTGATGTGTCCGTCGGGGGTGTGGTTTCGGCGGAGCAGAACGGGATGGGGTTTGGGTTGTCGAGGGAGGTGTATGAGACGTAGGGGGCTGGGTCGCGGCGTTCAAGCGCTGCTAGGACGGTTGCTACGCGCGGAAAGCGGTAGATGGGTTGGTAGAGGGCCGTGGAGAGGAGTTGTTTGACGCTGGAATAGGTTACCAGGGACGGGGTGGGCGCGAGGGTGGTAGGGATGGGGATGGGGGAGAGGCGGATGGTATCGAGGAGGGCACTGAGACGGTCGTGGATCTGCGAGGGGGACGGGGCGTAAAAGGCGCAGCGCAGCGGGCCGGCGAGGTGACAAAAGGTGTGAAAGGCTTCCATGACGAGGTCCGCGTCGTGGAGGAAGGCGAAGTAGGTGCCGTTGTACCATTCCTCGTAATCGACGTTCCCTAGGCAGCAACGGTAAGTGCGTGTGCGAGTTGAGCACTAGGGGTAACACTCACCATCATTGACCATCCTCTCGATTCGGTCCGGGTACATGGCTGCAAACGTCCCACCCAACACCGTGCCGTAGCTAAACCCCCAGTACTTGATCTTCTTCTCGCCCATCTGCTCCAGGATCTCCAACATATCCCTCGCGTGATACGCTGTGCTGCTATGCCGAAGTATACTCCCCTCCTGATTCTCCTCGCAGACTGCCGACAAGATACTCGCCCTGGCAAGCGCATCATACACGACCCCCGGGTGCGCATCCACAACCCCAACATCCTGTAAACCCCAGACCAGCCGATCCTGCATCCTGCCTCCCCAGCAGTCGATCCTCGGCGTCGAAGCACCAACGCCCCTCGGATCAAAGCCGATGATGTCGTGATCCTCGCCCACAATCGCCTGCAAGTCCCTCCCGCGGTCTCTCAGCGCCCAGATCCCACTCCCACCTGGTCCCCCGGGGTTGAAGAACACTGGGCCACGATAGCTGCCCAAAGACGAGTTTGCTCGGAGACGGACAACGGCCAACACAACCCGCTCGTCATCGCCCGGGGATTGCCAATCCATCGGGACATCGAGGCGCGCGCAGTCGAGGGACGCACCCGGCGCCTCGGGGATGGCGTAGCACGGATGCCATATGAGGCTTCTCGAAGGCGGGATATCCGCCCAGCTAAAGGTGCTTGTCTTGAGGCCCGAGCTACCAAGGATCGGAGCGGCAGCGAGAATCCTAGGCTTATAACACCCGCGAAGATGATGGTACAAAGCAAGAAGAACAACGGTAGCAAAGGTAGTGGTGAAGCCAAGCCATGTTCGTTTCCTTGGTGGGGGCCCGGGCCTGATATTGCCGCAGTCAGCGCCGTGTTGTTCAGCAAAGGCGGCCCGCGATTTGGAGGCCATGGTCGCGTGTCACTACAGCAGTGTCGTAACGATAGCACCCGCCGTCGTCAACAAAAGATCCATCATCGCGGACGAGGGGGGCGGGCAGAGGATGAAAAGATTGGAATTCAGCGAGACTTCATAGGACAGACTGAGACATACCGCCTAGCGAGCCACGGGCTGGCTGTCATCGGTTTCACTTGGGCGGTGCCGTGCGCTGCTATCGAAGCGCCAAGCTTCAAGGGACCAGCCGATCCGCGCTTGGGTCGGGGCGCTGATAAGCCCCACCCATCCCGCACAACACCAAGACCCCTCCGGCTCGGCACGAGCTCCATCGCCGCTGGTCATCTGAACAGTCCGAAGGCTCAATCCCGAGGTATCATGAAATGATCGCACTATGTAGAACTGCC